TACATACATATGCTCATTATTGATTGTTCATTGTTGTAAATTGTGTCGGTTTCGGGTGTGAAAATATATTCACGTTGTGATCAGGTTAATTACGTGTTCTTGATCTGAGTTGTGTTGAAGTCCTGTAGAATAGACACTGGGAGGGATCTAGTGTAGATAATCGTTTAAGCGCTTTAACATTAGACGAAGTAATACCGAGAGTCATAACACATTTTCAATTAAGTAAAGGATGATACTTTGAATAATATATAAGTACTTAAGAGTTAAATTCTATTGAATTATTAAAGAATATCAAGTCCATTTTGAGCAGGTCATCTTAGCCAAATAAATAAATCAAATACAGGTACAAATAGGAAATTTATGATAAGCCTGTGAAGTCGAAAGAATCATATGTTGATATACTTGAATATTTCTGTGAGATGAATATATATGAATGATAATTCCAGGTTAATTATATCATGAGTACATTAATTGCAAACCTGAAACTTTTCGATTCAAATTACTCACCCATACAACAGACCTCATTGACATGGTATGGTTTTATAGGACAAGTATTTCCGTCATGAAGTTGTTTCATTATGATATAACGGGATAGCCTGATTGACAGTTTGGCATTAATACTGGTTGCCATATCCTGAGATCGTTTGTTTGATGAACGAATACTAATCAGATTTATTCTTGTGTTCAATATTTTATATATAAGCACGTTATTTCGTCGAAAAAAACTTTTTCTGCTACTTGTCAGTCAATATTGTGAGTAGTCATTACTCGGCCCTATCGCATCAGTTAGTATGAACAATCGCTTGGGGCATTATATCCATTAATTTAACAACTTCCAAAAAGTCCTTCCATTATAAAGAATCATAAGAGACTTGCTCATAACAAGAGGTTGGGTTAGGAAACTCCAACCACAAAATCAAGTTGGGAGATAATGTCCAAAAACAATAGAATAAATCAATGTTTCGAACCAAAGGATCAGTCCTTAATTAACCTTTTCTATAAAGTATCTTATCTTTACAGTTTAATATTATTGATCTGAAGTAAACGTGCAACATAACAATATTTTTCAGTGCATTTTGCATTAACAATGGAAACAAGATTTAGTTAAGCTGAACTACTAAATAGCTTAATTGTAATATTATTCATGCTCATTTTCTAGCAAACGTTAATGATTATGTCTATACTGCCAATGAAAATTCAGAGAAGAAAACATAAAAAAACACGTCCACCTTAGCTACATATCATGTCAAAACTGTATTTCTAAATGAATTTTGCTCAAAATCCATTTTGATTCTAATTTTTCATTTAAAACAAGAATGACTCAGTTATAGTATTTTGTTGACTTGCTATGATACAATTTAGACTATTTTAGGAAGTAGTATTTCATACACATTAGTATCCACATGTTAATGAGTGGCAACAGTTATCGGTACTATGATTTTTTCTTTCAATATTTTTCATCACTTAATATTGAATGAAAATTCTTTGTTTACAGCACTATTTAAAAAAAGTTCACTTGATCCAACTCAACTACTTGAGCTAAAAGTTATCTATGTTAATAAACAAATAAAGCGGAAATTATTCTCATGAATATATCAACAAGAGCTCTTACAATTCAGTCATTGTTTGTCTTGAATCCAGGATGGCTGTTTTATTAGTTATATATATATATATATATATATATATATATATATATATATATATATATATATATAACGGTTCGAATTTTTTAGTTGTACGTTCAGTTGACGAGCCCCAAGTGGAATGAAGCGCAAGTTCTGAATTCCAACACTAGCCAAATAAAAAATATACCCTATAGAGTTAATTAACTGGATGGTATAGCAAGCACTGGATTTTGGCATGTATGACAGTCCATCGATAATTTCCTCTAAAAATAATAATTCACATAGTATAAAATGATGAATTTGTGTTACATAAATATAATATTCTCTCTAGCTAAGTTGATAATTGTTCAAAAACTTGTACACTGATTCATTTCACTTTTAAAAATCCTTATGACATTACATTGGGCATGTAAAACTCTTTTTTTGAGACATAGTAACATGTTGGTAATGACTTTTTGAAATCTTAACTACATCTGTTTGTTTGATGTCAGTAGAGGATTGAAACAACATAAAAAATTTTCAGAGTAGAAACACTGTTTGACGGCAGCTTTTAGGAACCCTTAATCCAGCGACTTTTCAAGTAGGATAGGACTTTTGATTGAAATGACTTGTTGAATTAGATAAGCAATTAAACAAAGTGAATGGATAAACCAAATGAAGCACTAAGTCAAGAAATAAATTCAAGATCACATAAAAGCTTATTCTTGAAAGTCGAGTTTTCATCCCACCGATTTCGCTTTACGGTATATGTATGTGGAAGCTAGATGGTTCGAGACAATCTTTTAATTTTGTCCTAACTGGTGTTCACCAAGTTCGGTGCTCCCTGAGAGATCATAACCCAAGTTGTCTAGTTTTAGATGTTACTACTATGGTGTTTGGGTAAAAAGTAGCAGTGAGATGTCTACCCTGACTAATGACGTCATAGCAACCGTGACATTTTTCTAAAGTTTAGGGCTGACCGGTTTATATATACATCAGTAACATACATACACAAGAATGGTCATACCTAGTGGGACAAGAGTCGCATAAACTATATCTAGATTGGGGAATCACGATAGGTAACACCAACCACCATGTCAAGATGATACCAGAAGTTCGCGGTATTATTCCTACATATCCCATTAACAACCAGTCACATGGCATGAGGTACAACGACAGACACAATCGTTTGCAATGGTGCAAGCGTATTCACTCTTTGTGTCCCCATAGGTTCTTAGTTTTGAAATTACCTTATAAGATTTTGTTAATTCACTATTCCATACTTTCTTTTCGAATCATATCCCCGATACTCAATCTGTCCTATTACCATTAATAGCGTTAGTATCGCTACTACTCTGGGATTTGCCGTAACAAATTTCATTTCACTGTGCTAATGAGGTATGCCAATTTGACCGATGTACATACGTACCAGGCTTTAAGTTGAGTATGACTGATAACAGACAGATTATAAAACTTCTCTCCAGTAAATGCAGTTACACCTAATAGATCGCAAAATAACTAAATGCACTAATGCATCTGTCAATACATCATATCTTGTACTCTGAAATCTCACATTTTTCAAGAAATAAGTAAAATTCAAAATGCAAATTATGTTTATCTTTTTTCCCTCTCATAATCAAAACACGATGTCAATCAACGGAAGGGAAGAAAAGCAAAGAGAAGGTCTAAATAATAATAATAATAGTAATAATAAGCATACTAATCATCGCTATCATACTACTACCAATGATAAACATAATAATAGTAATATCAAGCGCATGATTGTTTCACTCCTCGAGAGAAAAGGTGAACATTAATTGACTATACAAAAAAAGTATAGTTTACTCTTCTTAAAAGACAAATATCAGAGATAAACGGAAACCTTATACAACTAAAAAAAGAATACATTGATAGGAACACTAACGATACTAATACTATCCATAATGATAGTAATAGTAATACTAGAGGATATTTGCAATAAAAAAAATTCACTAAATAATGTAGTTAGTCACAATTTCTTTTTAAAAAAACAACAGGTTTCTAGAAAGGATGAAGAACGATAAAAGCATTTTTTTTACTTCAATAAATAGACTGGAATGATGCAGAAAGTCAATAAACACAAGCAACTTAATATTATAAGACGATGACGGGGAAAAAAAGAATGAGTATAGATGTATAGTTTAATTATAAAGATATTGTATGTTTAAAATAAATTACATGAGAACAGGAATACAATAAAACAATAGATAAATCACAATTTATTACTTATAACGAAGAATAACGATAGACAAGTATCTGTGTGTAGATGATGAAGAGTAACAACGCACCAACATGTCATAATAGTGAAAATATGGACAAACCCAGCATAAACAGACTAGTAATACCAATAATAATCAGCCTTCCATCTCAAAATTATTGATAGGAAGGTCGATACAAAGTGTCACGAGTTATCTAATAACTGAAAGTTATAACATATGTAAGACAGCTAAAGGAACGTTAACATAATAATGATAATAACACTAGAGACAGGCTGCAAAGAACAAAACATCATAAATTTGACTGATAATGTTGAGTATTATTATTATTAATTAGATAGAAAAACAAATATTTCCATATATTTCTTCTTCATCTCTTCCACACGTACACAAACATCCGACCTATATAAATCGAAAATAGATAAGGACCACGACGATAGTAACCATAACAACAGAAAAGTGATAAACGATAAGAAAGACCAGTCCTCTTCAATTTCTCATGCATATAATTAATATTATATATGCACAGAGAATAATGAAACAATAGATGAGTGTTTTATTTTAAAAAAACAACAATAAAATCAGCGATTTTCGGAGGACAAATACAAAAAAGGAAGCATGAAAATAAATTTACATATAAAGATAAAATACGTTATTATTATTGTTGCTGTGCTATTAATTTATACCTAAAAGGAATGGCACTGGGGAGTTATATGAGGATAACAAAAATAAATGTAGATAGATAATTGTAAGTGATGGTGAGTAGGTGGGTGTGGTTTTATAGGTGTCGGTAGTGAAATGCATAATAATTCCTGTTTTGTAGTTAACACATGCGTTTCAGGGCTAAAACTCGGTGCATATAGCTTCTCAAATACAGACTCATAAATAAACAAGTCTTAAAAACATTGAGATGTACATGTATACATTTTACGCTAGGTGGGAACACAAAAAATCAAAACAGGAACAAAATAGAAATACAGGAAACAGATTGATTTTGACATTAGTTCCCTGCTCACACACACGCGTATAACATATGAGATCAAGTATTCTTTGTTCATTATTGTTGTAGTTGTTCTGTTATAAAAACGAAAAATAAGACAAGAGAACTTAGGAAGAAAAAAAGTAATAATAAAACCCAAAGTTAGAGAATTAGACATTTTCGTTTCGATGTTTTCTGTTTCACTTGTGGCATTTGCTTGTTGATTTGTCGGACAAGATCAAAGAAAATCTACATTTTTTGTTTACAGAAAAAATGACAAAAATAATAATTATATAGGAGAAAGTTAAAACAATGATTTTAATGGGATATTTTTCAAATTTATTAAACAGATTAAAGTGATAATAAAATTACTCAGGATTAAGATTAATTATCGTGCTGAACCAATCACGATCAAGAAAAGGAATTCAGAGTTATAGCAAGTAAATACAAAACCAGGATGCTGACTATCGAATGTGTGCCCCCAAATGCCCTGGTACAACCGAGAGTGGGGAGAGTCCGCTCTCCCTCTCGAAATGCTCTCACATGGAAACGCGTATATAGACTCTGCCAGGGAAGTCCTACTCACTGCCTCGTGGCGGGGTGTTGTTTACGAAATTGAGAGGACGAAAAGCGAATGTCCGGCGCTTTAACCTAGTCGATGGACATGGAGAGTCCGCCTAGAGGAGTTGGGAAACCTTGATTCCAAACCAATGTTACACATGGGCTCCGGTATCTTGAGGGAAAAAATGGTTTATGAACCAATCATTGGTCACCGGCTACCATGGAACTGCATCTCCTTACGATGTTCCACTGCCTTGTGGATCAGACCTTTAGGTCAAAGGCTCCGGGTGTGGCCCCCTAAGAAAACCACTTGTTTTGGTTTGGGCACCCGGGCAGTATCACAGCCCTCACACATATCAAATGGGATCTGTGTGGAGCATATATATTTGGTGCCCCCTTGTACCAATATCTATGTGTTATTTATTTTAACACATATAAAATTCAGCAAAGCATGTCATTAATGTACCAGCAATATATTATTTGTGCATTCCTTCATATTACTGTCATAAGTCATTAATTTATGACTACTGTTTCCTGATTTAGCGTCCCATTCGTATAGACGAGGAAAACCGAGAGTTACAAAAGTATTATCCTGCAGGTGATATTCAGAACTGAATTTTGATCGATTTTTGTTAGTACATGTGCATCCTGTGAGGACCGCGTTGATATAGCCATAATGTCACTAATTTATTTGAAATAGATGGAATGTGGCTAACAGTAGAATGGCAAACGGACGTCTCATCCTATTTGGGACTCGAACCCAATACCTTCCGTTTTAAACACTAATACATCATCCACAGAGCTAGGTGGCTATTACGTTGTTCAACGAGTATCATATTAATGCTAGGATCTCTTTAAAATAAATTCGTAACCAAAAGGTCCTAGGGTGTGAACGTCAACAGTAAGATGCATGAAAATTTAACTGACGATTCCCAAATCAGGACAAGACACACCTTATATACCCTACCGCTGGACACTCCATTTAATTGTAAAAAGTATGAATTATAGTTAATAAGCCAGTCAGTCAAATACAACATAGGACCAAGCACATATATGCATCGGTCCAAGTTGCCAAACCTCATTAGCACAATAAAATGAACACCAAATTCACAGAAAAAGTTACTTCAATGGTAAAAGGATTGCATATTAGGACATGGTACAAAGAGAAAGAATTAGTTCGTATAAAGAAGAACATAGAGCAATTTTAGTCCCTCGGTTTAGGGGAAATCAAAGAGTGTATACACCAACATCATTTTGGTCGATTCTGAGTCATATCACACACAGTCTCCAACCACCGGTTACGATAGTCACGCGGACCACAACCAAGTAGTCTGCATCTAACAACATGACTCAGACCAGAAGTTAGTGACTTCAAGGACTGATGCCACGTTTTGATTTGGCCACCCCTAACATTCTTCTAACCGTCTTTAACACTAGTCAGCATTGCGGGTCGTGATAATCGGTGTTCAGGCACACATAACACGTGGCCCAACCATCTCAGTCGAGGAAGATTTACAACCTCATCAACTTATTTACCATCATTCCCTAATACTCTGTATCTGACTTCACTAATACTTACCCGGTGATCCCAGCAATATTTCTAAAACATCCGTGATCAAATTCCAGTAACCTACGAGTATCCTCTACGCTTAATGGCCACGTTTCACAGCCGTTAAGTAAAACAGAACGAACTGTTGAACAATATACTCGTCCTTTAATTGACAGACGGATATCTCGCTTTCGCCATAGGTGACGTAATTCGGCAAAAGTCAAACGAGCTTTCGTCAGACACTAACCGATTAAGGCTGATCAGACCTCCAAGATAAGTGAAGTTGTCGACGCGTTCAACTACTTCACTCCCTATCCTTAGTTCAAGTGTTGACGCAGGCCAGTCCTGGAGCAACAACTTGCATTTAGAGGAAGAGAAGTGCATCCCAAACATTCTGGCATTGTTGCTCAGTGTCACCAAAAGACTGAATTTCATCAGTGTCTTCACTAAATAGGACTATGTTATCTGCGTATTCCAAGTCAATAAGTGGACCTCTTGGTAGGATATAGATTCCCGAAAATTCCGACGACGAGAACGTTATTTCCTGCAGCAAGTCTATTATGAAATTGAAGAAAAATGGAGATAATGGACAGCCTTGTCGGACACCACTTGAGGTTGCAAAATCAGATGATAGTTTATCATACGACAGTCTATCAGTCCAATAGACATCGCAGAAATCAACTGGTTTTTCGTAACCGTTTGGTTCAAATCACTAATAGATGCCGCTGCTGCTTGCGCGGCTGTTCATATTTCTTTCCAGATAACATCTGGGTCAGGTTTGTTTTGAAAATTGCTTAAGTGTAACCTCAATCGTTCTTGGAATTCACCCTTAGCTTTTTCATCGATGAGTTCAACTCGAATGGGACTTCTTAATGTGGCTTTTCCGAGTCCATATTTGAGAAGTAGCAAATGGAATCGAAGAATGAACAGCTAGAAATGACGCTCAACTCAGGATGTAGAAGAACAGAGGGAAAGAATACAACTGATAAAAAGTTTGAACCTAACCATACACCATAAACTAGCCAATGATTTTAGAGATTGATCCCATGTATTTGTCTGTCCTCTTTCACTTTTTATTAAGTCTCACTAATGAGAGAATTTCTAGTATTATAATACGAAATATGTAAATCGTTTTATTTTTTAAATAATGAATACGATTACTTATGAGTTGTAAACAGCTGAAGAGAAACAACGAAACAAATGAATTCATGTTATTCTGCAACGTTCGTTCTTTCTGCTTTATTCAAACCTAATTAAAATAAACACTTCTCAAACTATGTTTACGTTGATTGATAACTAAATAGTCAGTAACCTAGTGTGAATAAAGTACGTGTTTTGAAAAATGTCAGTTGTGACCTGAATAGCTCAATGGTAACTTCTTCGATTGTGTGAAACTGAGTGGTGCGGGTCTGAATCTCACCGGTTATGGCATTATTACTCACAAGACCGAAGATACACTCTGATGACCATTACCAACTAGGATGAAACCTAGGTCGATGGATTCTTGCCAATCTTTTCCAACCACTTAACACTCAGAGATATACTACTCATAGTTATTATGTGTTTTATATATTTAATGACTGTATGTGTTCCAAGAGTTAAGTATCCTCCTCGATTCGGCTTTCTAGATGTCGAGGGCATCAACGGATGCTAACGATAGCCTAGAATGATAGTATTTAAAGAAACGGATGTTCTAGCTAATATAATTAGGTTGAGACATAATGATATCCAAGCCCAACTACCATGATTAAGTTGGCAACCACAGTCGGGATCTCAATAGAACAACAAAGAAACAGTTTATGTATATCATATTGGATGATTTAAAATGATTAAACATAAAAAACGAATGAAACATACTTCATTCACATTAATTTTAGCTTTGGCACTTGTTTCCATAAATGAACAATTTAATTGTCGACTAAGCGCATGACCCTGTTCACGACAAACTACTCGTTCATCTGCTAAATCACATTTATTTCCTACAATTATAAGTGGGACATTGGAAACATCTTTGACACGTTGAATTTGTTCATGCAAACCTTGTAGATCATTAAAACTGGATTGTGATGTAACTGAATAACATAAAACAAAGCCTTGACCATTTTTAATGTATAGATCACGCATAGCAGTGAATTGTTCCTTGATGATGTTAAAACAGATTATTCAAAAAGTGTAACAAAAACAAATCATATGATTGATTATTGGACGAAAAAACATCTTATACAGTCAAACTATCTGAAAAATTAATGACCGGTTATGAACTATGTGGGTACTATGCGCAGATTTGAAGAATACAACAGTTCGTTCATTTATACATAGACTGAGGTCATAAAAACTGACAAGTTTGAAATACATCAATCATATATATCCCTTGCAAAATATTCTTTCTATTTGTTGAGATATACTTTTACCAGATCAGCTGTTATTGTTTGAAACATTTTTGAAAATCACCACAAGCCAAATTTTTCATCTGCCTTATCGTGTTACAACTAATTATTTGCACGACATCATTGTGGATTTGGGGAACATCGTAGGGGGCTAGGTCTGGATAGTAGTAGTAGCTAGGGTGATCTAATGTGATGCTTAAACCTAGAATCTAAACCTCATGGATATTTACGGCTGAATGCGCAGGAGTATTTCCACATCTTTATTGGACAGTTCGTGTACTTATGAGAAAAATTACGGGTTTCATCAACTGATAGTTGACATCGGGGCCAAGCTGACTCAAAACGATGAGTGTTTAAGTTCAGTGTGATTTTTCATTTAGTTATCCCTATAACTAACATAGCACCAGCTCAGTTTGTATATTTCATGAATAAAATAAGTTCGGCTTAGTGACAATATTTGATTGTTGTATTGGTAATTTAAGTACTACTACTACTACTACCAATCCCTGACTGGTGTCTAAATCACGACCCACAAGCTTCAGCTTTCATTGGTGTGACACTTACAAAGCAAACATAGTAAAAAACTGCTTTTGTCTGTCAATAAAAATACAAAAGATGTTCTATTCTAGATCTATTTTGAGGATAGACACGCGTATAACCCAACAGGTTCACGAGAATGTGACCTCGAAAATGAACAATTCTTCGGGTGAAAAACTTCTAGTAGATTGATAGCTACTGATTCAGTCAGTCAGTAATAATGTAGAACTTCGTACGTACGTACATCAGTTCGAGTTGCCACACCACATTAGCACAGAGATTCAGTTATCGATTCAAATCCCGTAGTTGTAGAGGTAGTGCAAGTATAAGTAGTGATAGGGAACATTAGGGTTTGATGATGTTATTTAAGGAGTATAGTCCAGTGGAATAGATTCGGAAAGAAAATAAAGGACATGAAGAATTCAGAGCTACTGATTATGGATGCTAATTATATAAGTAATGAAATACCGCTAGTCGGGTGTTGGTAAGTGTAATGTTTCAAAACCTGACGAAAAGAGAATACTTGAACTATGCATTTATAACCAGATCTGAAAACTTGATTGAATTCTTCACGTTTGCTGTTCCAATGCTTTACTCAACTGTCAGATTACAACAAAAAATAACAATCTACACAACCCCACACTGATGAAAACTAATATGTTTGATGCGTTAATAATCAAACTGTGTAGTGGATTAGGGCTTAGAGCGCTCGACTTTCAACCAATAGGTCCAAGGTACGAACTCTGTCCCATTAAATTCTGTTTAGGAAACCAGGAAATATCTGTGGAACCTCACATCTCGTATAACAGGCACATAAGCCTGGACTTGGTGAATGAGTTATATTTGTATTAATGGTACTTGATGTGCAATTGCCGTAAGAGAATTTCGCTTTTCCTTACAAACTACGACGATCAGTGATTGCGATCAGTCACATAGATATGCTTCTCCCACCTCTTTTGCTTTTCTCGCCCATCACTTCTTACGATTATTACGTGAATATATGTCAGTGTTTGACTTTTTCACTAATTATGATATTCGGACTCCTTCAAGATGAGTACACAAGAATCGACAGGTTTAGTAAAAGGTTTCCGATATCTGTTAATCTTTTCGAACCTTTTGATGTGGACTGCTTACAGACATTACTACTGTTCTGATAGTAGATTGCAGATTATCCCAGTGAACCTCAGGGTGAATATCCTTAGTTTCGAGTCTTTGATAGTAGATGAGATTGACAAGAATGTTATAGAAACAAGTATTAAGTTTACCATTTTTATTAAAATGAATTGGCTAGAATGTAACTTAATTCAGTTAATAAATTACACTGATATCAACTAAGTACACGATAAACCGCTTTAAGTGAAAACAGAACCAAGCAACACCATGTAAACAGAAGTTAACGCTCTTCTTCTACTGTTGTATCATAAATGAACTCTAAACCGGTTCATTATGCAAAATCAGACATCATATGACTATACCCTTTTGCGCTTCTTAACCTTGAGATGGCATTTAACACTGTCGGTCGAGGTTTTGTGGCAGTGTGTCATTAAATAGAGTAAATGCATATGTAGAACATTACAGTACTTACCGTGCCAGCTGTGTCTAGAATTTCCAACATACACTGTCTGTTATCAATTTCGATTTGTTTTCTATAGCTATCCTCAATGGTTGGATCATACTTTTCCACAAATATTCCCTGTACAAACTGCACAGTCAATGCACTTTTTCCGACACCTCCACTTCCCAGAACAACAAGTTTATACTCTTGCATTGGATTTGAAAATGAAAATTTTTATTTAATCGAGTTAATAAGTTGTGATTAATGTATGGTGATAAGGTTAAGATTGTAAAACACTTCTGAATATTCTATTTTTACTACGCCGTATTACAGCACCTAAGTAATAGAAAAAAAGACAGTACATAATTTAGAGATTCCTAATTATGCTTCAAAACTTAAAAACGAAACAGTTGCAATTATGATTTTGTAAGCACCATTTAGGTTTAAAATTTTTCTACAGTTGAGATTATAGTGCCCATAGTGTAGCCGCGGTGCAGAATCTTGGTTCCTTAGGAGTATGTGTTTGAATAACCATTGGAAGAACGTTACGAAACTTTTTCATAACACTTCAACAGTGTTTCAAATAAAGTCAGACTTGCTATCATAATGATGAGCTCACCATGAACTGGAAACAGTTAAAAATTGGCGTATAAACAACCAAAGCACGCACAGCTATGGATTGAATTAGAGGGAGAGTTGAATAGGGTCAAGACATGATAAAACAACTGCACATAACTAAGTTTCTAAATCGTCTAAGTCGCTCATAAGAGATTAGATTACTGATTTTAAATTACAGTAAACCAATAATAATCACAAGGTTTCAGATGGGCACTAACGATTTATAAAGGTAAAATACATAAATTGTAAAGGGGAATGAAGATGAAAATGAATTTGAAAATAAAGCGGCGGGACTCTAATTTATGGACGACTTTTGAACGAATCTTATGTGACCTTGAGAAATATTAGCCAATCAGCAGACAGAAAGTGTCGAGTTAAAATATATTATACAAAACCAAAGAAATAGAGTGGACACACTTCCTTTACGTGGTTCAAAAACTTGTCAAAGCTAGAAAGGGGTCCAAAGGTTCTAAAATCGTAATGCATTCAGTAGAGGGAACCATCCATACGGCTACAGAATAGTCGGCCTCTGGATCCATGATAAAATCTCAGGAACTCTTTGAGCCTCGACCACATAGCTTCAATATTGTTTATGTTCACTCCAGTTGTTGAGTACACAAAATGCAACTTGTGGATAACGACACGATGTACATAAACAAGCCTATGTAGCAGCCTGTACGCTCTCCAAACATTCGTACATATTGTAGTACCTAGCTGCAGCCAGTGTTACTGGTGCATTTATCATCCATTTCGCGACAATTTTCATAATTTACCTTAGTTAAGAATTGTGTATGGGGTTTCCATCACGAACTGACATCAGTTTTAATGCCAGAAATCTATTTAGCCAAATGGATGAAAGGCTTTCGAGTTAAAATCCGAGATTTGTTATCTTATACCTGATTGATTCGTTCACAAATTATAGTCTCGCCGTTTTATTTGTTATAGCCGCTCAATTATCACGTTTTGTACAAAATTCCCTGTGAACCGATAGTACGTTAGCATTAAGCATTAAAGTTGGCATCGTAACCTTGAAATCTAAAACGCTTCTGATTGGTTTGTCCATAAATTAGAGTCTCACGAATAAAGCTTGTAAGATATAATGCATGGACACAAAATAAATTAAGTAAGTAGAACAAAGTCGACGATATGCATATGTTGATGCCATCAATTCTAGTCCTTTCTAGTGCAAACAAATGTAGAGCCAAGAAAAAGTAATATAGTGACCGATTAGCACCATTCTCAAGATCCTGTGTGTGTAAACACGGAAACACATAACTTTCATCGTTATTCATGAAGAGCTATATACTAGCACCAAAATCAATATGCACTAACATCCAAACTTTATTGAGGCACTTAGCTCGTAAGACGTTGCATCTGTATAAATGTATTAGCGGAGACTTTTAGCATAAATGACTCATTAATCCTATGTTTCAATGGCGAACACACGAGCTCATGAAACAAAAAAACTAGTATGTGTATAGTGGTTGTAGATTAGGATTCTTTAGAATCAATTCACTCAGGTCGGGATAACAATATAGAAAGTTAATCGTCTGCTATAAGACGGATGGTGTAGGCCTACTCAATTCATATGCTGTGCTTATTACATATGCAGTTTTTAACGAACCTTGATAATAACAACAATGTAATTACTACTTGTGGTTTCATATTTATCGAGTAAATAATCCAATAATTTGTTATAGAAAACGATTACCAATGAGCAGAATCTATCACAAAATAGTCGGATAACATGCAATTGTAAGTGTTAAAACAATACGTATGAACATTAAACATTATAAAAATGAAGAATGAATGAATATACCACGCATAACTGGGGACATATACAAAAGTCAAAATTTACGAACACAGGATCTCAAAACAGCCGCCTTGTAGATTGCGCGCTACTAAGCAATCATTGTATGAGTTCAAATAGTCGCAATAGATGAAAAAATATTTCTCCTAACTAACCTTTATATCTTACGACAGTCTGTGTAACCAAAAATCAGGTTTTGAAATATAAGTGCCTTTTGATTGTTATGTACATTAAGAATACCTTACAACTCATGTCACTAGACTTCATATGATAACTATCTAAGATATTCTTTTACGTACATATACACAATAAACAAGCCAAAAGACTGTGTATTACTTTACTCACATCATCGAATATTCATATAACCGATAATTTCAATATGTTTCATATTGTCAGCCGCCAATGAACACGTCGCAAAGTATAATAAATAAAGGATTCGTGACCGAGTGCCTTGAGCTAGGTGTGTCTAGTAAAATTAATGAGGTCAGCATCAGTGACGAAGACTTACAGAGTTTTCTATTTTGAGACCTTGTTTGCCTCCACAGATCACTCACCTCCTAGTGGGGTAGTGAGTACCCTAAGATATGTCCGGTTAGAAGTCTAAACCGAACGAGTTTGTCTTCGGTAAACACTTCTGATAGCTTACTGTGTTCCTTACTATGAAGGGCCATATGTTAAAATACAGTAATGAAGAACAGGTACAGTGGAAATTTTAATTTATCGTAAATTTCATCGGTGTTTTTCATGTTTTCCATCCGTCTTGGAAAAAGAAAAGCAGGACATGTCAGTAAAGATACAGAACGAGCTAAGAAGGGAAATGAACTCATATATGCGTTGCGTAAACACGCTTTTGCAGGATGATTTTTTTCGAAGAAAAAAAATAATAACATGAACACATAAACAAGCATGTAAGCAACAAGTGTTTTGTTTTTTTGCCTTTTTTTGGAATAAAAACTGTGTACGTGAACATACTGAAAACAGTTCGTTTTTCGACACTATTATACAAAAAGTTCGAAACGAAACAAAAAGTTACGTAGTGTCTTACATGCAGTAATCGTTTAGGTACTCTGACGACCTTACTTTTTTCTAGAATGCGTTGAGTTAGTCGACTGTCAGATACCATCGAAGTGATTGCTGAGTATCAGGCGAGGTATCACAATTGTGAGACCCGTGCCTTGCGACTGTACCGGAGGAAAACAGACACGACCGTGGTTTCCTTCTAAATACGCGTCTTTGAGGTGATAAATGCTGACGCTACAATCAGTTCCGTTCTTATTGATTATATAGTACTTAAGTTCACTCTAGAGGACTTTGAATGGCTTCACATGTCATTTCACGAATTCGTCGAAGTGAGTCGCGACGCACAAGGACGTGCGCTATATCGTAGTGCGGGTTAAATAAAAATATCAATTGATTGTGGCCATGTGGAAACAGGTGGTGAGACTATAATTTATGGACGAACCAATAAGGTATAACATGACAGGCCTCAGATATTGGCATGAAATCCACTCATCCAATTTGGTTAAATGGTTTTGGCATGACAGCTGATGTCAGTTCGTGATGAAAACCTGATATCTAATTCCTAACGTTAATCGTCAACTGTAAAACACAATTCTAATTCCTCACACAGGTTTGGAACCCTCATTTGGTCATAAATACTAGGTGGACACTCTCAAGGTTAGTCTATCTTAGCTCAAAGGTCGTCCATAAATTATAGTCTCACCAAACAGGTTTAGCTGAATGCACAGTTTTCGTCAGCCTGCTCGTCTAAGGGTTTGGAGCCGTATTCATTAAAGAAGATGAAGGATCCACGAACTACTAGAAGTCGGAGTGTCATCCCATAAACTAGTTGAGCCGCGATGTATCCGATGTCAGCTGTCACTGCATTGCAACTACTGAGTAAGACGAGTGGAATAGTGTCGATTCACTGCTAATTGTTTTTAGCTGAGAGTGAAGATTTAAGCTATCGGTGAAAGCGTTCTATCAACCTGTTTTCTTTTGAGTGGTAGGCGGTTGTTCGTAATCGCATGATTCCTAATAATGTGGTCAGACAACGGAAAAGTCCAGATTCGAGTATGCATCTACGGTCTGTACTGATAGTTGAAGGGCGACCGAAGTTCGCCACTCACCGTTTGACAAAGACGCAGACCACTGTTTCAGTAGTAATGTCCTTGATGGGTATCGCTTCCGGCCAACGAATGAAACGGCCTACACAATTTAAGAGATAAGAGTATCCATTTCGTGCCTGTAGGTAACCCTTGTTCTATTGATGGGAGAAGTCAGACTAGTAGTGAATAGATCTTTATTTAGATCGCGTGTCAGTCACAGTTGTTTGAGGTCGACTCTTAGTAACCAACTTAAGCTGTTACATCCATTTGAATCTGGTAAGGGTCCTACCAAATCCAGATGAATATGGTCGAAATGACATAAGGAGTTGTGAAAGAGCTTAAGGAGCATTTGTCGTGTCTAATCACCCTAGATTTCTGGCAACTTACACAGGAGCATGCCGACTCCTTTACGTCTCTATTCATACCAGGCCAGTAAAACCGTTCTGCTATAAGCTTGATGGTTGCACGAACACCTGGATGAGAACGTCTGTACAACATATTGAAGACGTTGCGTTGATAAATTGTCGGGAGGATTGGATGATCCCTACTTGTAGGTGTGTCACATAGTAAAGTTTCCTTACCTGTTCCCATACGTTTAACGCGCAGTTTAAGGGTTGTTGAGGATAACTCGATTCCTTGGAAACGGTTCAAGAAACCAATACGAGGCGAAGCGTTTGAAACCACATTTTTTGCCCCAGAAATGTGTTGTATATCTGAAGTAAACTCAGAAATGCATGTTCATTTGTCGAAACTCTCGAGATGAGTACTTGTATGAAGGTGATCTAATAGAGAAAGTAAGAGGTTTGTGGTCGATCAAAAGGGTGAACTGTCGGCATTCCATAGAGTGCTGAAAGTGCCGTACAGCACAACACAAGGCTGGGGGTTCGTTACCGAAATTGTTACATCTCGATTCAGTGTCTGGCAACTATCTCGAGAATAATGCTAAAGGTTGTCAGCTGTTGCTTACTCATAGCTGCAGGACTATTTCGATTGCCGAGCCAGATGCGTCTACTGCGATACTAACGGGTGCTTTGGAGTCCTAGTGTGCGGGCAGGGTTGCTTCGACGATAAGTTCCCTAACTGTGGAGAATGATTTTTTGAAATGTCGTTCGAATTGACGATTTTCTCATTTCCACAAAGTTGGCCCGTTAAAGATCTCATAAAGGACTTGCGATTCGGGATGAAACGTTAGCAGAAACTTGCTAGGCTGTTGAACATTTGAAGTTCCTTGATTGTTGTGGGTTCTGGGTAATCCAGAATGGCCACCACTTTGCTTTTCAGTGGTCGTATGAGTTGAGCATCGATAGTATGTTTGAGAAAATCTAGCAAATCGTTAACGATCTGATACTTCTAAATGTTTACGGTTATGCAGTGTCTTTGAAGGCACTCAAAAACAAGGTCCAGATGCTGGGTTCATCTTACTCAAATAAGCGTGCTAAACAACAGAAAAAGAATAGTTAATACACAAAGATTCAGTGCATGAGAATCAATAAGAATACTCCCAACAAGGTAGGATAAGGTATCTATCTGCGAGGATTCGAGTAATCTTTCCAAGCAGTAGTCAACGTTTAACAGTCAGACACTGGACCACTCCATGACCTTGAGCTTAGTCGAACACGACCATAACGTCGATAGTCCGTCAGCTTGCAACAGAAAAATCAGGTAACGAAAGGTAAATCTTTATTCAAAGTCACCTAATGAAAGCTCAGACGAGGGAAACTGAAGAGTTCAAAGTGTGGCTAAAAAGGATCTGAATAAGGGATAAATTACTCGGTCGGGAGAAGAAACAAAGAAATGACAGTACCACTCAACAAAATGTCGTGGAGGGATTTTCAGCTTCCTCCTTTCGTTACAGGCTGTTTGATGACTGATTGATTCTCAAATCTATCATATGTTCGAATTCGTTTTTGTTCGACGCGCTTTCGAGAATGCGGGTGTTCCCGTGGTCATGATATGACGTGCAACATTGTTGGTTACACATGTTAATTTCGGTCTCGTTTGCAATATCTCGGGATACTTGTCGAATACGTTTTGATAGTATGGATCGATCGTTTGCCTTACTGTGACTGGGGGCAATCTACAACCGGAAAAAGGAGTTATACAAACAGATAAATTAGCATTTCCGTCTACTAAGCTCTGTTTGGGTGTATTGATGGGGAGATTGTGATGTTGTAGTAGGTTTATATCAATTATTGGCATAGGAACATCTGCAGCAACGAAGATTCAGTAGATGGGTATGAGTAAACCCACGTCTATATGTAGACATCGCCTACCGTATGCTGCCATCAGCTACCCAAATGCCGCCTGTAATTTGTGAAGTGCTTCGTGAAGCCGGTTGTTATGGTTCCCTGGAGGAACCATGACTTCTGCGCTTGTGTTGACGAGTAGCGAACTTTCGTAGTCACATCGGTGGTGTATGACAAACGGCTATGCTTACCGGCCACGGTTGCCGTTAAGGCGTGCAGACAGGAAAGTTTCCCGAAGCGTTTCTCATTTCGGTTGGTTAGGGGCTGGGGAAACTTCAGTGTTTTCTACAATTTCGAGATTTTCAATATTTATTATGATGTCAACATCAATCACGGTTATCTGTCTCTCGTGATTGAGAGACAAATCCCTTTCGTGAAGTACTCCTCCAAGGAGTTTGATATCATCTACGGTCATGACGAATACTATACTAACGTGTCAAGATATGATAGAGTTCTGTAATGTCACTTCGTGTCGTTTGAGGTTTTTTTTGCTGAAAAACAGCGTTATTTCTGGTGATCTTCAGAATTCGGCCGGCAGATGCAGTTACCTCATCTACATCGTTGTTTTGAAATGGGACAAACACTGCGTGAAACTGTTGGGGTAGCTAAGACAAGGAAAGTTGGTTAGACAGGCTTTTGCCAAAAATCCGTCGACTAATGAACTCTCTCAATCGTAGTAACATGTCTGTTATTGAGCCATGTTATAAAAGAGTTGAAATAACTTTTATGGGTCGGTTAAAGCTTCATGCTTTAGAATAGCCCTTTATTGAGTATTTTAAGGTTCCAAGACATCATAAGTAAATATACTAGGCGCGACATGCCTGTTGAAATCGTGTGGTAGTGTCTTCACTATCGCGCGGATGTGTGCACGCGGGCCTGTCGCGCCGCGCTCGCGGAAATCAGCTTCGGCGTAGCAGAACAAGGCTTCGATATTGTCGGGTCAAAATGGCATTAACTGAAATGAAGATTGTGAAAGAGTCTTGATCTTAAATAACTTAGAAGTCTCTTCAGTTATAGTGACTATAGTGTATAGCAATAAACGAGAAGTCTTCAAAAAAACTATAAATGTCACAATACGTAAAATATCGAAGTAAAAAACGATATATAAAATTCCAAAAAAAGAAAAAGCTCAGTTTACAAATTGATTTACCAGATCACGCCTGGCTCACCACTAGAGATGTCATAAATATTAAAGGCTTGGCAACACCTTAACCAGCAACACCTATACAATCGAAATATGCCAACCCAGTCAAACCAAATGTCAGGAGCGAAAATGTCCGAAGATATATTTAATAGAATAAGTTGCGTGAACAAACGCCTTGAGCTAAGTGAGTCCATTAAAACTGATACAGTCAGCACCAAATTTCGAAGACACACAGAGCTACTGATCGTTAGGATTTATTTACGGCTACAAATGATTGCCCTATGTCATGTCGATATAAATCACGGAAATAAAAAACAGTTCATTTCAGTTCTATAATCATTTTCATTCAGATATTCATCAACAACAAAGTTCGTTCGTTTGAGGAAAATATTGTCTATACTTCAATCGACTGAGCGAAACTAGTATCTAATGATCCGAGGTGTTCCGATTGTCAATCACTTCGATACCGAATAAGTAGAGTCCTCATGTATCTTATGTCTTGATCTCCAGAGCATATCTCTTTTAAAATCACTACACGTTCGCACAAAAACTGTCGTGGAATGAGATCACGACGACATTATCGCATCTCATCAAGTTGTAAAAGCTGCTTGCCTTGTTAGCTTAAACAATCTGGCTCAGTATTCTTTCCTGAAGACATAAAAGGATAAACAATGAATCTTAGTATATTTGAGTTAGTGAGATAACACGAACGCTATAAAGTATTAAGTGAGCGTTTGCAGGTTATGTGTTTATGTGCTTCGGGACGGCGGTGACTCAACGGGCTGTTCCGAGGGCGGTATTTCGAGTTCGTGTTGATTTAGTTGGTTTTGGTTTTTTCCTGATTTCATCATTGACCTCGATTGCGTGCCATTGAAATCGCCTTACTTTTGGGGTAGAAGTTTGCGTCTGTTTTCATACATAAACACATCTGTTTTTAGATATTAAATATTTGCCTATGTGACATTTGTAATCATTTTGTGATTCCAAATGTCCTTGAATCATCCTATAAAGTTTGAAAATACTTTTTAAGGCAACAGTTTTTTTTTCGCCGGTTCAGGTTTATCCGAAGTCTAATCTAATTACGTCTATGGCATCATGTTTCTTATGGGATTTTATATAACAATATTATATATATATATATATATATATATATATATATATATATAAATACTGATACAGTTTCAGGTTTATGTAGTAAGGACATAGGAAACCTGCAGGCTATGTTATTTCTCTTCTAGTATGCTTTTGTGAGTGTCTGGTTTTCTTTTGAATGAGTCAATTAAAGGTGCGGACACCATTGCTTCGGGTAACAGGTCCCTCTGTACTTTTTCTAGGATATCCGAATCACCCTTTTAATAGGGCCTGCAGCCTGAACGCAGCTTTCAAGATTTGTTCTCACTAAGGTGTATTCTGTAGGGAACATGATAGTATCTAACTTGGTGGATGTCCGTCTTGGAGCCCATAGTGTTTAAAACCCCATAGGTACAAGCTCCCGGTAGTGGATCGTGGTCTCACTATCACCTCAAGATCCTTGTGAGGCCGGACTATGGGCACAAGCACTTCCCCTATGCTGTACCTATTCACCTTCATCTCCCGAAAGTTCATATAGACACAACTGGTGTTGATACTCCTGATGTTAGGGGTAAATGGTCATCGTCCTGTGGTATCAGTAGCGAAAATTCCTTAGGGCCTCAATGTTTATGTGGCCCCCGTTTAGACCTTTTATATTTTCACATTACCATGTAGGCTCAGTTATGAAATTTTAGCGACTGATATGAGATTTCCAGTTCTTTAATATCCTTCGCTATCTGTATTACATCCATAAACGACATCGATAAACATGTTTAATATACGAGTGACAATGCGTCGACCTCCATTTTGCGTGCTTAGATGTCTGTTTCACACTTGCTAGTTGTCTTCCGCATATATATATATATATATATATATATATATATATATATATATTAGTAGCTAAATGAGTTATAGATACTTTAGACATTTGTCTTCTGCTAATATTCACCAGTTTACTTAAGCAAACTTTAAGTTATCGGGTCACAAACCCAAATTGTGATTCACTTCCTAAGTATTAAGAAATTGATAGTGCTTGTAATCCTTGTACGAGTATAATGCAAAGTAAACTACATAAACGATCATTTAACTGTCGAAATGCATTTACTAAGTGTCCTGCAGTGTGGAGCATCATTTTCGTATACGGAGCTGTGATTAGTATTTTCTAACGAAGAAGCTGTTTAACGTGTTTGTGTTTTTGAACCATCAGAAGGTCAGGAAAAACAAGTTAAGCTTAAAATATAATCACTTCTCTGAATCCGCTAAATGACGTTCTGCATTGGCAGTAACGTTTCGTAGAACTACGATAGGAATACAGGTTAGCACTGTATTACTTTATTCTCGTTTCAACCTATTGACCTTCCTGTTTTTCGTTTGATGTTCGACTATTAGCAGGTCCTTAGTGTTTGAGTTATATAGTTTGAATTTAAACCTATGACATTCTTTATGTTTTTTTTTGTTGCCGTTTCGATGAAATGCTACCTCTGATTTAACTTAACATGTAAAAGTCTTATTGCTAGATATTTCCCCATCTTTTTCTTCGGATTGTTTATGCCAAAGTCGTTCAGATAACGCAATGAAGGCCGAAGTTTATTGAGGTTATGAAATTCAATATCCTAATACATTTTGAACAATCTAATCACCCCGTGTTATTATTGCACCACCTAAATTTATCAGAGACTAAATGTTCTAAGTATTAAGTTATTGTTTTGTAGGTCGTAAAGACGTGCTATAAATTGTATTTGAACCTTAATCTTAGATCATCAAATGGATCAAACTATGGATCATTCACTCATAAAGAGTGAGCGGGAGTATGTTGAGTTTCTGGACGAAACGGTATGGTTCGGTTTTTTGATAATTATTTGCAATTTTCAGGATGAGTATAAGGATCGCATCAATTCTTTAATTACTCGTGATGGCATTCGTTTGATGATCAACATTAATGATTTGCGCCGTGAGAATTCTGGAAGAGCTAAAAAGTTTGTCAAGTGACTTAAAGCCTTATTGTTTAGGCTCTTAGAAAACACCTGCTCGGAGATAGTTGCTTGTCAAAGAGCAGTTAAGAAGTGCATTCAAAACACAAACCCAGATTTTGCGAAGACAAAGCATGAGTTTTTTGTTGGTTTTGAAGGAAGGTTTGTTTTAAGTGAAATAAATATATTGTATTTAGTTTTGGGTCTCGACATGTGACACCTCGTACTCTTAATTCGAAACTATTAGGAAATATGGTTTGTTTAGAAGGCATAGTAACAAAAGGTAATATTGGGTATTCTTATCGCTTATTTCGAAGCATCACTTATCCATCCAAAAGTTGTATGCAGTGTACATTATTGTCCAGCTACGAAAAAAACTATTGAACGTCGGTATGCTGATTTGACAAGCTTGGAGCCATATCCATCTGTTGGAGCATATCCAACAAAAGATGATGAAGGGAATTTGCTGGAAACGGAATATGGACTATCAGTTTACAGTGATCATCAAACAATTACAATTCAGGTATATTTTCAGTTCTTGTTTTACGTAGATGTTTACAGGAAATGCCAGAAACTGCTCCTGCTGGTCAATTGCCTCGTTCCATTGATGCATTGCTCGATAACGACTTGGTGGATGCTGTCCAAGTAACTATTTTACTTAGAAAAGTTGTTATAGTTTGCTTTTAGCCTGGTGATAGAGTGCAAATTGTCGGTCATTATCGTTGCTTGCCAGGAAAGAAAAACGGATTTACCACTGCAAATTTTCGTACTGTAATTATTGCGAATAATGTACAGTCACTGAGCAAAGAAACTGGTCCAAGTTTTTCAGAGAAAGATATTAGTATGATGCGATTAATTTCAAAACGTAATGTAAGTTTCTCAAATGCGTGTTATACTAATTTTTAATTTAAAAAAAATTATCTACCTTAAGAAATTATTATAGCCGCTGCTCAGACTTTAACAGCTTACTGTGTTAAGCGAACTTAATTGCAAGCGTTTAGCTAAGCATTACATCCTATTACATGTCAGTTATTATATGAAATTTAAAATGGTTGCTATCAAATGGCTTGTTCAACCTTTGAAATATTCGTCTTAAATAATACATCTTGACCCTGGTCAGAATTTCGGTAGTACCCGACCCCGACTCTGAACAGTATAGGTCGTCTAGGTTGTCATGTCATAGAAAAGTTACAACCCCTTAAGTGACTTAAATCAGTAGTCGAAGCTCATAAACTAATGTCATATTTTAATCTAATTACACTATCCATCTTACAAGATGTAGGTGGTGGTTTGGCGTGCACTACATGATTCAGTAATCTATTGATAGACTAATGATAACCGGAAGCACTTTTCAAAGTAGGTTATGAAGAACTTAACAATAGCGTTCCACTCCTTCAAAAATTGGTTGGTAAGGCGGATTTCAAGGTAGTTTTTTAGTAAGTTAGTAGTTTGTTCAAACCACTTCACAACAGCATATTTTACCTTGTTCGATTGTCAAAAATCATTCTCACTTTCGTGGGTTCCCTCGATAGTCTTTTTTGTATGTATCAAGAACAATTTCATATCAATTGTAAAATAATTCTTATATACTTCTACTTATCAGGATGTTATTAGTCTTTTAACTCGTTCCATTGCACCATCAATTTGTGGCCATGAGCACATCAAGCAAGCGATTCTTTTGTTACTATTGGGAGGTGTCGAACGTCAACTTACTAATGGTTCTCGTATCCGTGGTGACATAAACCTATTGCTAATGGGTGATCCTTCAGTTGCAAAGTCACAATTTCTACGTTTTGTTCTTCATATTGCACATCGTGCTATTGCTACAACTGGTCGCGGCTCGTCAGGAGTTGGTCTGACTGCTGCTGTTACAACCGATATGGAGACTGGTAAGTTGAGTTTATACCCATCCTTTATAGCCTGTATAATTTATAGTTTGAAACATGACTATCAATTTATTTCTGAAAACAACTCATTTAAGAGGTACAGATTTTTTCACTTGGCTTTGAGGCACATTCTGTATATGGGCTAGTGATACTACTCGGTTGCTTAAACCGAAGTAGTTTTATTCGAGCCTATGACTTACTAGCTGAAATTCAAACTCCTTGACTATTGGGTGACTTCAGAACAGTCTTTCAGTAGTGCACGTTATGTATCTAAACATTTGTCGTATGGTAAACGTGTTTTCTTTAACCTAGGATGGTTTTCACTCTAAAATTCATGTTATTGCATCTCAACCCACTCGGAGCCCTTCTAGAGTTGATCCCAATCCCAAGCTACGATAAAGGAAGAGGGTTGAGCACAAGGTTAGCAACCCCATCCAGTAAAAAGGACCTTGCTAAAAACGGTGACCCGTTCAAGAAGAGCAGGACCGTTGACTATTAGACCTAAAAGTCTTGCGTTTCACTTCCCGAAAAAAAAACCATCCCCTATGCATAAAATTAAAAAAGCACTTAGTCTTCCTTGGCTCATCACAAATCTTTTTCTCAATTTATCCAGGCTACTTAAACCAGCAGCCTGAAATAACTTTCATTCGTTGATAGTGCAATGTGTCTTTTTACTCACTAAAATCATTTTTTTACTGATCCATGCGCTGCAAAACAACGACTACATTTCTTGTGTCGTACCGTATAATTGTGATGTCTTCATATAGTTAACCGATATCATCTGTTATGGAATAAAGCTAGACCAAACAGTAAGGTCTTAATTTTTTAGGGAGTGTTTAACCCGTAAAATTTATATTCTCCAATCACCTACGACATCTAGTCTTGTTTGTTTTCTTGTTTATATGTATAAGCATGTTATTCCTCATTAGTAGGAAGACCTATTACTCTGGTTAAATGATCTTGTCTTGATTTCAGTCTATTTGGAGGCTTTTGTCAGCAATCCGGTTGCATGTTCAGCCATCACTCAGCTACATCATATCATTGCATTTCATTTATCTATTTGCTAGGACTCTTTATCCATTTTAGTATTTCGAAACTTGTTCACCATAATCACAATTTTTCAAATTTTTCATTTATGGCATTAACACGATCATGTACATTTCACGATGGCAAATCAGTTGATGAGGTTGTAAATCTTCCTCGACTGAGATGGTTGGGCCACGTGTTATGTGTGCCTGAACACCGATTATCACGACCCGCAATGCTGACTAGTGTTAAAGACGGTTAGAAGAATGTTAGGGGTGGCCAAATCAAAACGTGGCATCAGTCCTTGAAGTCACTAACTTCTGGTCTGAGTCATGTTGTTAGATGCAGACTACTTGGTTGTGGTCCGCGTGACTATCGTAACCGGTGGTTGGAGACTGTGTGTGATATGACTCAGAATCGACCAAAATGATGTTGGTGTATACACTCTTTGATTTCCCCTAAACCGAGGGACTAAAATTGCTCTATGTTCTTCTTTATACGAACTAATTCTTTCTCTTTGTACCATGTCCTAATATGCAATCCTTTTACCATTGAAGTAACTTTTTCTGTGAATTTGGTGTTCATTTTATTGTGCTAATGAGGTGAGGCAACTTCAGTCAATCAGCTATAACGTATGACCAGGCGCATATATGCATCGGTCCAAGTTGCCGTATCATTAGCACAAGATAAACACCGAATTCTTAGAAGTAGTTAATTCAATGGTGGTAATATATAAAAGAAAGTTTGCATTGTGTGGCAACTTGGACCGATGCATATATGTGCCTGGTCCTACGTTGTAGGTGACTGACTGATACATTTCAGGCTTGGTGCAAACCACCGTATTGTATTTTTAAAACAATTCAACTCAGCAATCAAACCTGATATGCAGTACGTTTTTTAGTCTCTGTCAATTTACTTACTAGGTCAATAGAGTGCATAAAGCAGATAAAACATCTGTAATCAAGCAACACAAGCAATGAAAGTAAACATAATACAATGGAAAAATAATACCAGTACATTGGTAAAAAGAGCAGAGTAAGGGTTAAGGTTTCATCTGATACTAGTTTTGTTGTAGCTTTGATGTGGATGGTAATTTTGAATGATAAACGATTGGGTTTTCTTCCTATGAGAACTCGATAGTACGATGATTAATACACAACAACACTTCTAGGCCAATAATTCATACGCTAATAGGAGATAGAGAAGACGGGACTTCTACGACAGCCTTATATATAGAACAGAAGTCAAATTTTAAGTACAACTCTGCATATATAGTAACAAAACATGACCTTGTGACAGTGGAATCAATAAACTAAAAGTGATAAGCAATCAGAAAGCAGCAAAGTTATGCGGAAATATAAACTAGAAAAAACCCAATTGAGTTTATCGTTATTGGGCAGAAACTTACATGTATTAACAAACACCAGATAACTTGAGGTCTTCGTAGCATATTTTAAAACAGATTTTGAAACAAATAGTGCGACCTGATAAATCGATATGTCCACCCAATAATCTCCGTCTTTCAAAACTTATGATCTATTTTATTTGAATTACCTGAATACACCTCATTCCCTTACACCATACCTCTCACCACTCTCCATACTACCTATTATTTTAATTGTTAGAGCTCCTTGTGTATCGTATTGAGAGCAGTAATCTGTTCTTAAATTAATGATTTTCTCTAAAGTACTTTACTCGTTACTTTATAAATACAAGTGGATTCAATTATCTGATGCTTATTTACCAACAGGTGAACGTTCGCTAGAGGCTGGTGCTATGGTATTAGCTGATCGAGGTATAGTTTGCATAGATGAATTTGACAAAATGTCCGATATTGATCGAACTGCTATTCACGAAGTAATGGAACAAGGTCGTGTGACTATCTCTAAAGCTGGTATCCAGGCGAAATTGAATGCTAGATGTTCAGTTTTAGCTGCAGCAAATCCTGTTTACGGTAAATATGATCAATATAAAACACCTATGGAAAATATTGGTCTCCAAGTAAGTTTTACGTCAAAACATTTTTGTATGATTGTGTTTATCATATATGTAAGTTGTTTGACATTTGAAGACAACAGATAGCCTTAAACATTTGTTTTGTGCTGATTGTTACTTGTCAACAAGTCATATCCATGAATGAGTTACGCGTAAAATTCCCAGACTAAAATGTGGGATTTACTTGAAGATATGGTATTATCATAGATAAAACAATAAGAAATCATCAGTTTGCAAACCTGTGATTGTTAAGTTGTTCTCAAAGGTCAGATACACGCGGTTAACAACATAATCAAAGCGAGTGAGTTCTTTAAATTAGTAGATAAACTTTAGATTACAATATATTTTACTATAAATCAGACAACGGACATTAGTATATTAGACACTAATATCAAGCATAAACAAATTAGGGTTCACTTTTTCGTAATTTAAGTAGGTCAATAGAAATAGACACTAATTCAAACAGTAGTGTACCTTAGAATAACTTCATGATGAAAGTAAAAAGAGATTCCTGAGCTTAAAAATTTACTGACTGGGACATCAAACGAGAAATACGAATGGATAGACTGAATAGTTCGTTGAGATTGAGTAACATGGTGCATTACAGCATACGAGAATAAAAATGGTTAAAAAATTATCCAAACTACAACATATTAGTAAATAGCATAGCATACAGATAAAATAAATCTAGAAAACGTAAAGCAGCTTTAACTGTATTAATGAGGTATTTGTTTTTCTTTTTTATGTTTCAGGACTCTCTTTTATCTCGTTTTGATTTACTCTTTATTGTACTGGATAAAGCTGATCCGGACTCTGATCGGGCAATTGCTGAACATGTTCTTAAAATTCATAGATATAGGGGACCAGGGGAACAAGAAGGTGAAGCGTTACCATTACACTGTGCTACACATTTACTTACTACAGGAGCTGATCCACTGACTATAGTGTCTCAAGATGATCATGATGATGATTTAGATGGTAATAACTCTCGTAGACAAGAAGAGGATCAAGTCTATGAACAACAAAATGAATTTCTTTTACCATCTCGTGGTAGAAAACAGTAAGTATGTAATACTTAAATTCTGTCATCAAGTTTACCCTTTTTAATTACAAGTTAGGAGCAGAAATGCGTAGTCACCTTGTTTAGTAACAAGAATACTTGGTTGATAAGTAGAACGTTTTTATTTGATTTGATTAAATTCAACTTCAGACGTATGATTCTTTGCATTAATTAACTTAGAAAACAAGATTAAATTTTTCAGGAAAATAAAATATGAATATGTTCCAGAAAAAAACCTTCAGTCAAACAAAATGAAGTCTTTTAGTTGTTCTGATCTTAAAACATCTTTGGTATACAAGTAACTAAGTTAAACTCAGCTACTCAAATGTTACAGTTTACTCATTTGTTTGAGATTCATTTGAACTGAATAATTATGAGTCAGTTAGTCAGTCATGTGTACCGTTCAAGCTGTGTATCAGTTCAAGTTAGCATCACTACATTGGCTAAACAATCTAAAATTATCAAGATAAGTCTCAGTAGTAGAAATAGAAACAGTATCAGTAATAGTAGAAAAGATTAGGTATAAAAACACCAGGTATTAGGAGATTTCGTGACTCATATTCGTAGGGCCGACAGAGAGTGAATGAGTTTGTCATTACGTGCCTGATCTTTTTTGTTTCCACTTATACTACGACTATCTCTACTATTCTGGGATTTGGTCGGATAATTTCATTTCTCTGAGGGGGGAGTATGACAACCTGAACTGATTTACATATGTACCAGGTTCTGTGTTGTGACTTATTGTTATAGGATTTGCATAAATAAAGCTTCTGTTACTAATATTCTTAGTTAGCATTAACTTACATCGAACAATGGTTAAAGACTTTGACTGATATGGCTTGGAATCGTTCGCAATGAAGTTAGACCATTCACTTTGCCCTTCAAAATGAGTCACAAAATCTGATGCCTCTTGTTTCATCGTTTTTTTCCATATCTATTTTTTTTGCTTCTGCTATAAGATCTTGATAATTTTATATCGCCTTGCTAATGTAGTAATGGAAACTTGAACCGATGCACATATATATCAGATTCTACGTTGTACAGAACTGATTGACTATGTTTAACAATATTTCACTACATAATCAATCCACCAATTAATTCCACAATCTCCTGCTCCTGTAGCTCCGCCAACTGCTCTAGACGAAAAATGTTGTTAAAAAAATTTATTGGATGAGACTGAGCATTCATATACAACCTGATTCAGTTCAGTGATTATTAATTAAATAATTTTTACTAAATACAAAATTATAGTGAAAGAATCATTACAGAGATGTGTCGAGAATTTAATAACTGTTTACAACTGACGTACACTGAAGGTTAATAAATAAACAAAAATCGCTTTAAATAGAAGTTAAAATTGACATTCTTTTGTGTAATTCGTATTTAGTGATAAGGGGATCATTAACAAAGTCTGTCATTTAAATCTTACGGTTTAGTAAATATTTCAAATAGAATTCACTATTTTGTCCCACATATAAAGTTTGTAACTTGTTAATTGAATAATCCAAACCATACACTTCAATAGTTGTTGTTGGTATACAAATATAAAAGTGTGAAGCACTCCTTTATTTTTTATCTGTTACAAAGAGTCAATAAAAACAACCAACAACAACAAAATATGCAATTTTATTTAGGTTCACATGTTTCAATGATGTTTTTATTTTTCATGATTGTGACATTCCCCTATGTTTATATAGATTTATTTTTAATTTAACGCAAACATTGGTACAAGAGGCACCAAATATATATACATCATACTTCATTATTTGATTTATACGAGGGCGGAAATATCCCCCGGGTGCCCAAACTGAAGCAGATAGTTTTCTTAGGGGCCACTCCCCGAGCCTTTGACCTAAAGATCTAATCCACAAGGCGATGGAGCAACGTCAGGAGATGCAGTCCCATAATAGTCGGTGACCGACAATATGTTCATACGCCATTCGTTCCATCAGGATCCTGGAATCCATGTGTTTATTTATTTATTTATTTTAACACATAGGTATTGGTACAAGGAGGCACCAAATACATATGCGCCACACGAATCTCAATTGATTTGTGTGAGGGCTGTGATACTGCTCGGGTGCCCAAACCGAAGCAGGTGGTTTTCTTAGAGGGCCACACCCCGAGCCTTTGACCTGAACGTCTGATCCACAAGTCAGTGGAGCATCGTGAGGAGATGCAGTCCCATGGTAGCCGGTGACCAACGATTGGTTCATACGCCATTTGTTCCTTCAGGATACTGGAGCCCATGTGCACCATTGGTTTGGGATCCGGTTAAAGCGCCGGACATTCGCTTTTCGTCCTCTCATTTTCGTAAACAACACCCCCGCCACGAGAAGGCAGTGAGTAGGACTTCCCTGGCAGGGGCTATGTACGCGTGGTCATGTGAGAGCATTTCGAGAGGGAGAGCGGACTCTCCCCACTCTCGGCCGTACCAGGGCATTTGTGGGCGGAATCCATGTGTACCATCGGTTTGAAATTAGGGTTTTCGAACTGCCCTAATTGTGAATTCTCCGTGTCCACAAACCCGGTTTAAACTCCGGACATTTGGTTCTCGTCCTCTCAATTACGTAAATAATACCTCCGAAAGGCAGTAAGTAGGACTTTCCTGTCAGTGGCTATATACACATGACCTTGTGAGAGCATTTCGAGAGGGTGACTTAACTCTCCCCACCCTCAACTGTACTAGGGTATTTGAAGGCGTTTATATAGATGTGTACTTTTCATTGCTAATTTTTTACCCCCTTAACTTAAAGCATTAGGAATTCACATTTTCAATTTTAATCTACTTCACGACTATAATTGGACAAAGATATAGATATATCAAAAGTGAAACAGTTGGCAGTCCCGTTGGATTATTATCGCTCTATATCACAAATTGATTGAAGTTGGAATTGTACTGCTGAACACCGATCTGAAAGCTCTGAGTTCGGTCCTTGATTGCTCACAGAGGAAGAATTACACTATAGGTTAAAACAACTGTCCAGTGCTTCTTGTTTTTCAGTGGTACTCTGTCTGAGATCAGTAACGAATACAACCTACAAAGAACTAAGTAATTAAAGATCAAATTCCACTACATATATTTATTTCTGAATCCTATCTTTAAGGTATGACTTTCTATTATAATGATTAAGTAGAAAGCGTTGATTTTCCTGTTATAACGTTGAGATCGACAAATCTGTTTCAATAATCCTGATATTCTATAGTGAACCATGTATAGACCAGAGCAAAAGTTTGATTGCCATGATGATAGTACAAAGGTAGAAGTGTACATTTTATAATATGAGTAGTTACTTACGTATGACATATTAATCATATCTGTCTGCACTCCTTAGTCAGTCAGATCATTTTAGCTGGATGCATCATGTTGTTTGTTGGGTACATGTTTATGTACCCGGACTTAAATCACACTTTAGTTATGTATCTGTGGAGGCTAGTGATAAGTGTCCGATTTAGCTGAACCGAGAATGATAAGGCAAGAATTTCAACCTTCTATTTCTCATTTGAAAACTACATAGTTTAACTATTGAAGGATTTTTCCGTTGTTTAGTCAGTTGTAAATGTTGATTGTTAAGACGAAATTTAACATGCAATTGTGATCTAAATAACGTTGAAATAAAAAATGAGAATGATAATTGAGAAATTCCTTGATGAAGTAAGATCCCTGTTGCACCAGATAGATCAGACGAGCCAATACACAATTACATTTCAATGTTAGCCAACACAAAAGAGATAAGAAAACGAGCGAGCAGACAGAAACTTTAAGAGAATTTCAACATCTTAAGAACAGACAATTGTATGAGTAAATACCACAATATATACCTTAGCGTTGTACAATACAAAATAGCTAATAATAAATGAGTGAACTATATGTTCATAATGATAATAACAACACTGGTTTACAGTCAGCCTTAACATATATTCACTTAGTTTCCAAGCATATCAGTTATTTGCACAATCGTTCTGTTATTACACGTGAAAAAATATGTGCTATTGTCTATAGGGTTCTTTATTTTAGTGTGGTTTCGTTCTCTGAGTTAGATGGTTTAGTCGTTTTTTTCAGTCGAATGGGTATTCACAATTGACCATATGCATTGGTATAAGCAAAGATGTATCATGGCGTTTGATCGCTAGTTGGTGTTAGTACAGGTGAATATGTAGGTGTCCATTTTGTCTAACGTAGTGTCTCTATCGATTGAAGCAGTTTGTAGATGATTTTCCGGTTTTCTTCTTTTGTTATTTCATCATTTCTTTAACATAAAACTGAATTTGCTGCTATATGTTCTACACCTATTTCAAACAACTTTAGTAATCTCGTTTTAATTTCCGATATATCTTTTATATAAGATAGGATAATCTATTTGTTGGTTTCTATATTTCATTTCATTTTTCTGATGAGTAGGATTGATGTATTTTGAGTAAGCTAAGTGGATAGCTTTTTTTGGTGTGTACCAAAAGTAGAACAGTTTATTTCATTCATAAAATTGGATGTCTACGAAATGTATATTCTATTATGTGACAGGTGACAAATTTGACGGAAGAAAATAGCTCAATATAATAAATCGTCAGAAATTGTTAATGTGTCTGTGTTGTTCGAATTAATTAGGTAAAGGGTTTATATAATTCATGTATATTTCGATAATAAAAATGAAACAAACAAAAGTCAGTAATGCTAAAATATTGTAAACTGTTTTCAACTAAATTGCTCCCCAACATGTGGTACTAGACATGTACATATCAACTTTCTAAACAGCATGATTAATGATATTAAATTAACTCATTCACCAGATACTGGATTATAAACTATACTCTAAGTGTTTTTATTTATTTATTTATTTTAACACATAAGTATAGGTACAGGGAGGCACCAAATACATATGCGCCACACGAATCTCAATTGATTTGTGTGAGGGCTGTGATACTGCCCGGGTGCCCAAACCGAAGCAGGTGGTTTTCTTAGGGGGCCACACCCCGAGCCTTCGACCTGGACGTCTGACCCACAAGTCAGTGGAGCATCGTGAGGAGATGCAGTCCCATGGTAGCCGGTGACCAACGATTGGTTCATACGCCATTTGTTCCTTCAGGATACTGGAGCCCATGTGCACCATTGGTTTGGGATCCGGTTAAAGCGCCGGACATTCGCTTTTCGTCCTCTCATTTTCGTAAACAACACCCCCGCCACGAGAAGGCAGTGAGTAGGACTTCCCTGGCAGGGGCTATGTACGCGTGGTCATGTGAGAGCATTTCGAGAGGGAGAGCGGACTCTCCCCACTCTCGGCTACCCAGTTACACGACCTCAAGCGGATAGAGATGAGTTTTAACCTGTGACGCAATGCCTGAAAGTCGAACTCCTTAACCATTAAGCCACTGTCCTACTTCTAAACAGCAGTGTAACACATTACTTTAAATTATTAGTATTATTACATTCCAAGTATCAGAAAAGTTATCTGCTTATCAATTATTTCTACGTAAAACTATACCATGTAACTAATATCTTTATCTTTTACATTTCTTTTTTTCACAAACTAGAGATCAATTAACTATTAAATTTCTACAAAAGTATATTCATGTTGCTCGACAATTAAAACCACAATTAACTAAAGAGGCAGCATCAATTTTAGCTGAAAAATACTGTGATCTACGTGCACAAGAAGCATCTGAAACTATGAGCCGACCTAATCGCGGTGAACAAAATCGTATGCGTCGTACTCAACCAATCACAGCGCGTAGTTTAGAAACCCTAATACGTTTATCTACTGCACATGCTAAAGCACGTATGTCTAAAACAGTTACTAAGAAAGATGCTGAAGCTGCTGTTCAACTAATATCATTTGTCTTGTTCAAAGTAAGAACACCTTTGTCTTATGTTTGCAGCAGGATTTTTTTAAAATCACTTTATAAGGTTTATGAAGATTAAGTTCACTTGGTTTTGTATACTTGAATCTTCACATTGATGTCTAGGACTGCAATTGATCAGTCTCTTATTGGTATATGTGCATACTGTGTGTTGTCTTAATTCACAAGCATTATAAGCAATGATGGATAGTGGCTAGCAGTGGGATCCAGCACGCGTGTTTCGTCCCATTTTGGACTCGTTAGCTGGATGTGCCTGCATCTCAGAGTTGATGTCCACTCTGGGACTCGAACCCAGTACCGTTCGCTTCAAACATCATCGCGTTATCCACTTAGCTAATGAGTCCTGATAGTCACTTGTTAGCCACTATCCATCTTGACTTTTAATGCTTGTGATTTAAGGCAATATCGAGGTAATACTCACAGTATACACATATGCAAATAAGAGACTGATCGATTTCAGTCCTAGACATCAATGGGAAGATTCAAGTAACCAATACCAACTGAATTCAAACTTCACTCCATTGCACAAACAAGTGGCTATCATGACTCAGTAGCTAAGTGTAGAACGCGATGGTGTTTGAAGCGAACAGTAGTGAGTTCGAGTCCTGGAGTGAACATCAACTCTAGGATGCAGGTACACCCAGCTAACGAGTCCCGAATAGGACGAAACGCGCGTCCTGAATTCCTCTTCTAGCCACTATCCATATTTGCTTATGGAGATTTTTAAATTGCATAGTTTAGATGATGAACTAATCCTAACGAGATAACCACTAAAAATGAGGATGTGTTGAATAGGTTTTTCGCCTATTAAATTCAAGTGTTGTGGTAGGACGAATATTCAGGAAGTTGAAACTTTCGGAGCTATTTTTTGGATTATTATTATTTATGTTTATTGTAAAATTAGCAAATAACTGTATGGTTGCATTTCTATATTACCCTTATTGTAAGCTTTCTGTAGACCTATTGACTGTTCTTATACGGTTTACTATTACCTAATTGTTGCTAATTAATATACTGTTATTTCCGCCCTCTACCACTTATAGTATGGTTGTGCTTAACGTTTGATTTATTATTTGGTATGCCATGTGGTCTAGCATTTTCAGCATATTATTGTATGGGTTTTGAGTCATGGTCGAGTTGGATACAATGTGAGCTAATCTCTTTCCGATCACCGTATTTTGATTTGCTATTGGGTTAGGAAGGAATGTGTTTTCCCATATCTCAAGGTTTCCCGTTTGAAATGGGTATGTAAATCGGTAAAGCTATAACTAAATTAGTTTCAGATGAATAGGGAGTTGAACCTTCCTATAGTCTAGTTGTTTTTATACGTAGGTACGGTAATGTATCCATATGTGCGTAACTTGAATGGTAGCTGTAAATGTGAAATTTCACTGACAGAGTTGAAACGACGTGTCGTTTGATCCTTGGGCAATATTTTGTGGTTCACTGTAGATTTAATTTCGGGAATTCCGTACTTTGTTAGAAAATACTAATTCAGATCATTGAAATATATTATTCTGCTGAGATTTTAAGTATTCATGTTTGTTAGATTTATAATAGATTGATATATACCCACATTCTTATTCCCAGTATCTATTGTGCCGATGTTAGTCACGTTAAATTAATTGTGATATTATATGTAGTTTAATAAAACCTTTCACAATTTTATTATGGATAAGTGTAGCAAACACCATTCATTTAGACTTCAGAGACTAAGGCGTTTGTTCACCTGGCAATTCTAAATAGTACCGGAAACCCTTGAGAATTCCTCGGAAAGCTCTTCATCAGTTGTAAAATTGCTGAAAACACATTTTCCAATTAGCGTTCAACCGAAAAATTCTGGAAATGCAATGAATTATGTCACATCACGATTAAATGATTACCTATTTTGTTACTAATTCTAGTATATCTCCAAATGCTTCCAGAATGTTAATATCACCTACAAATTTACAAATACCTTTTTTTTAAACACAAATTAATCTTGAAAGTCAAGTTTCTTCTCATACCACCTACCTTCTCTCTTCCGTTCAGAGTTCTTGTGTAGAAGAGTTTTCGGAAACTAGAACTTAATTAGGAAGTCACTTCCGAGCGTTTAAGTGCCGGTTGTACCATATAATTTATCCCGAAGAAAATTTTTAAAGTTCTAGGGAATAAATAATCTTATTCTGTGATAATTTTCTTAGTAAAATTTTTTTTCTATTAGGAAGTTCTAGAGAAAACTAGACGAAAACGTGATCGCAACTTAGATGATGATGATGATGATAAAGACTCTGATGAAGGCGAGAATGCAGACGGCGCTGAACGCGATCATTCACAACAACCTGCTAAACGAAGGTATCTCCCTATTTTTACCTTCATATACGTAACTAGATTCTCAGCTAAATAGGTTTTATTCATTATTCTCTTCATTTTATACTGCAAACATTTAAATTAGGTTCATATGACTAAGCTAAGGAATTTTCCTTAAAAAATTCCGTTCATGACGAGTATATTGGTTACACAGACAAGAAGTATCCCTTTGGTAAAGAAAAATAGTACTCAAAGATCTGGGGAGAAAATAGGGAATGAATACAACTGTATCACTGAAATCGGTTTCTCATTGCCTTACAAGATTTCTCTAACGATTGGTTACGAGATGTGTAGGGGTCACAACCAAATATGTCTCACCTTCCAACATGATTTATGAATTGATGTCTGATCTTCCTATAGGAAGATCAGCTTTATGTCTTTATCGATCAACTTAGATGTCAACCAGTATTTATAGGTTTGGCGTTTATAACGCAAATTTTAGTTTCTTAAGCCTTACCAACTGAGAGGAAGTTCTCATCATATTCATTGTATACATCACAAAATGAGATTCACAATCGGAAAATTTTCTCAGTCAAAAATGAAAGAACCTAGTCCTTTCTTTTTTTGTCAAGGCAGTTAGTTTTTTCTTTCTATTTTCACTTGAATAGTTCAAGTTAAATAAAGTACACCATAATTGTGTAGATGGTGTTTGTGTTTTTAATTAATAGGGTTCGACCCATGTATGGTTTTTTCGATAGTTACATTGTTAAACAATAATAGATGGTTATATAGTTTGAACTGTGAACATGTTACCAAGAAAGAAAATAGCTTAGTGCTATGCAACAATTTCGTTAAGTTGTTCTAAAGTATAATTCATCTTAGATTAAAGATCCAAGAGTTATGCTTAATCGCTATCAGAAACTCGAACATTCAATTTACTTATCTGGGGTGATCAAACCATATTATCACGAAAAACATCTGCAGTAGATTTTTTTGATTTCATATCGAGCTTTATACTGTTCTTATCTCAGCATAATCAAGATTTTAGCAATATATTATTATCATTTTCTCTCTAATTCAAGACCTATTGCCACGGGAAATGATTCCGCTCCGGATCCAAATGATCCTTATGCATTTACAGAAGATCCAACTGTAACTAGAACTGAACCACTTGCGGAAACTGTCCCTATTTCTTCTGCTTTACACCAAGAACGAACATCTCAACTTTCAACCATGATTAGTCGCATTTTTCAGGAACGTCGTGTTGAACAATTAACAGTGACTGAGGTTAGTCACATTATCTACGTGTTTCTGAATATGTAACACATCAAAAAAATCTATGGTGGTCTATTATGATTTTTTTAAAGATTGATGATTGTTTAAAATTTTGTTAAATAATTTGTTCAATAAATATTTATTACCAATGTCTCTTGTCAACAAGCCGTATCCGAAATTTTACGCCTAAACTTATACTCCTGATGAGATTCGAAACAGGGTCATCCAGTGTTGTACAAGTTGAGAAACAATAATACACAAAGTGAGAATAGAAGAGATTGGATAAGTGACGTAGTACATAAAAAAATAATAACAAATGTTATCAAACGATTGTGAATGTGATTTGTCTGAATACTAATTCAAGCAAGAATAGTTTTTCTAGTAGTAATCGTTATTTGGTTTGTGTGTGGGCTGTGATACTGCCCGGGTGCCCAAATCGAAGCAGGTGGTTTTCTTAGGGGGACACTCCCCGATTCTTTGACCTAAAGGGTCTAATCCATAAGGCAATGGAGCAACGTCAGAAGATGCAGTCCCATGGTAGTCGGTGACGATATGTACACTTGGTTTGGAACCAGGGTTTTCGAAACTGCTCTAGGTGTGCATCTTCCATATCCACTAACCCGGTGAAAGCGCCGAACTTATGTGCTGCATATGTATTTGGTGCCCCTTTGTACAAATATTTCTTTAAATAAATAAATATCCGGCGTTACTGACTGAAACTTGATCATTTAGTTGTTCAAACCCATTAAACTGAGATATTTTTTCATACATTAGTCGATGAGCAGCAATCAATTGAGATGTCATGTTTTTTTTAATTCATACTTTTGATTAAATTCTATTAATAAATTTGCAACATGGTCACCAGTCCTTTTTTATAAACCCAATTTGTCTGTTTATTTTCTCTTTTCTTAGATAACTAATGTTGTTCGATCACGAGGTGGTGGATTTAGCCAATCTGATGTTCGTATCACTTTAGAATCCATGCATAAAGATAATCGTATTATGCTTGCCGGTGACGATGTTTGGCTTATATAGTCTTTTTGACTTCAAATAAAACCATATTTCTCACTAGCATTTTCACACACACCCTCTCTTCAAATAATGAATATTGGTGTTATTTCCTGAGTATCGTTTGCTCATTTTCATTATTCGTATAGATTTCTTATATTGAATACGTTTCTATCATTACTATTACATTGATTGTTATTATTTTTATATCGGAAATCTATAAATACATGTTTGAACTGTGTGTGTGTTGATACTCTTCGTGCCAGCTAAAAGAATTGATGTTATGTAGCACAGAACCGTGAAAGCTTTCTGGTAGTAATTCTATTTAAATAGTCTATAATGTTCAACACATGGATTTAATCCTTTTAAACTCCTTGTTGGATAATTGAAATATTTGTCGTATTCCTCAAGTCAGTCGGTCATATATAAAGTAGAACCTGAAACATGTACATCACTTCAATTCGCTACTTCAAATCAACAAAGTGGAATTGAGTTAGTAAGACAAATGTCAGATTATTAGAAGTAGTAACAGTATGAATGGTAGTAGAAAATATTAGGCACAGACAATATGATTCAAGAAGAGTAAAAAGTTTGAAATAATTTAAAAACTCAAAATCTATGAGAAGACGAAAAGTAGATATATCCATGTCTAAGCCAATTCGTGACAACTTTTTCATGTTGACTTAATAGTTGACTTTCAACTAATAATAGACTATGGATTTGAACACCATTCTACTTAATTTGAATTGAGTAGTTGGGTAGTAATGTATTAAACAAGAACTCAGGCGGGAACATATAATATATTGTTTAATACAAAATTACAGAATATCTCGGTAAAATATAGGAACCATACATTGAATACTTCGTTTGCAAATTTCCATCATTTGTCCTTCACATTTTGTGTAACTTTCAATTCACAATTCCTTTCTATTCTCTTCAATTCGATCTGCCGGTTTTTCAGTTTCTGATTGGTGTTACTTCCTACTTATGTCTGTCGACAGACATAAGTAGCATACACCACAGTAATACTAAGTGTAACCCAAGGTCGAATATTTATTCCTATACTGAGCAGAGTATCATGCTGGCGTAGGCATTCGTAGATATGTAAAATACCATTTCATTGATGATTGTGCAATGAAGTTTGGACTTTTTCTTATTGATTCGTTGTCTAATGTTTAAGTGGTGTTTTTACTCCTGAGAGCTATAATATTTCAAGTTTAATTCAATCTACTCAATCTAATATTTTGCCATTTCACGATTATATTACCATTCTGAACCTTACGGATGTATCTACTTACATTTCAGTAATCTTCATTTTAAAAAGTAACGTTTAGGGATTTGAGTATGATAGACACTTGGTCAATGCTAATGCTGCATAATGTTTACTTATATTGAAAGCAGTGACAAGATGTTCAGTTGCTACGACTTCAGACTTAACAAAATGCATTAAACCACTTCAGTTGCAATATCATAATTACTACTCAGAATTTTGGTCTTGGAATTTATAACCCATCTGTAAAACGTATTAACGACTTTTTACATCAGTTAAATAGTACCCAGTAGTGAGATATAGAATGTGTTTCGTCCTATTTGCGACTCATCACTTGGATATATTTGCATCCCAATGTAGATGTTTACACTGAGACTCGAACCCAGTACTTTTCATTTTAAACGCCAACGTATCGTCTACTGAGTTCAAATTGCCGCTAGGCTGCACAATGCGTATGAATTCTATTTTCTTTTCTCGCTGTTAATGTTAAGGATTAATTGATCGACCTCATATTTTTATCCTGAGCGGATTGACACTTAAAATATTCTATTAACTTCGAATAATGGGAAGATACAAACCCTTGAAATTATATCCAGGACTGTCTTATCTTAAATTATTTGCTATCATTTGAAAGTAACGACTCATCCTTGAAGTGTAGTCAAATTTCCTACTGATTATTGAACTTTATTGATAATAATTGTTCTAATACTATAGATTGTGTTACAATAAATAATTATCCGCTTTTATTGTGCAACATTCAAATTGTAATTATGTCCTACTACTTTTTTATAATCACCATCTGTTAGATACATGAATAGCAAAATAAAAGTATCTTCAAATTCTAGGCAAAAATCAAAACATTCCAATAACTTCGATGTTCTTGTTAAATATTTCCAGTGTTTCGCATTAGTATGTAGTTGTTAGCCTCGTAAGAGTACGTGTCGTTAACTTTCATAGTTATTAGCTTCAAACAAAAACCTGAATGTGAAGGTTTATTGGGACATTTACGCTGTTGAAAAATAGACGGTAAAAAATTTCGAGCAAACCACTTTATCAAAGTATTGATTATACAGTCCTTAGTGCTGATAAATACAACAGTGGTTAATACCGTATGATTGATCAGTTTGAATATCTGAGTCCTGCATGAGCTCATTCTCACTCTGAGTCGCTCAGTGATAACAATTGTGATGCAAGTTCTGATCTCACGGAAAGCATTACTTTCTTGATGATTTTAGATAAAACTTTTGATTAAGAGTCAACTAGCAACACACCTAGGCCAAGCAGAATTACATACCTATTGCCATCAACAACTAACTTCCACCCCAAAGTTATAAGTATTTAGATGTTATGTACATCAATTTCTACCTCGTACATCCTATTTAAAATGGAAATCCACATCAAGATTAAGATCTGTACTATTCTATTGCTGAAGCCGAACATACTCCTAGTAGTTGACTTGTGTTTAGTATTTTACTAGTAATACTCTTGTATCTATCAATATTTTGGTCAATTCGATGACCTATTTACAAGTTATTCACAGATGGGCAACGAATTGATATTTCATTTATATATCATAGGAAACTACTCAAATGATTACAAGTAAAACCAAATTTGAAATTGTCTTAGCATCAAGAAAATCGTATAGTTTATTTAAAATATATATTCATTTTAATAGGTTAATAGTATAAATAATTTCTACTGGAAAAATGTGTTTATATGAACACAGACCGATAGTGGTTAGTAATGGGATCCATAATGCGTGTTTCTTCCTATTTGAGACTCATCACCTGCATTCCAGATTTAATGTTTGTTTCGGGACTCGGGGTTATTTCTTTTCTCTTCAAACGCCATCGCGTCACCTACTGAGTCCAGACTTTTAATCTGTCATAAGATATCAATATCGTGTTTATATAGCCTTTAATACTTATCGATTTTTATCAGTAAATTCGTCAATGTGGTCTCTGGTCTAACTGTGAATACGACAGGATGAGCACTATATTTGGTAGTTGGTAGTCTATAACAATCAATAAACAGTGATTTTCCTGACTTATCTCCAAAATTTGCGTAATATTTATATACATGTCAATTGTGGAATGTAACGATCATCAGTTATTCCAGCCTGACAAGTATGATCATAACTAAACAAATTTAACGTTTACTTATCATCTCACATAACTAGTATTTTAACAAAAGAAATTTTTTTATATATACGGTTTTACGGCTTGATGTATTAATTAAACTGATATTAAATCCAAGCATTGATGGATGAATATGGGGTCAGTAGGTTACATTTTTTTAAATTTTGTTTTGTTACTACTGGTTTATTTATATAGTAGTTTATTTTAAAAAAAACATTATACATCCAAAAAGTAGAAAAAGCATCTAAATTTTTTTTAATATGGGGGGATTTGTGAAGATTATTAAATTTTCTATAGTTTAAATCATGAAATGGTCAGAGCTGAATCACAACTGAAAACCTGGAAGCACTGGATAACTTTCGTCTAGATATGTAATTCTTCAACAGTGCTCGTCTACGACTCCGAATGCAGTAATCCAACACAAAATCTTTGGTCTTTTTCTTGAACGCTTAAAGTTTAGGCCATTGAACCGGAAACTAATGATTTTAATTTTAAAATTCAATTGATTCACAATGCTGTGTGTTCATTTTCTGTTGTCTATGGTGGACAGCGGACCCCCAACCTATGATGAGACGGCAGTTCAATCTTCCCAAAATTTTAGTGATGGTCTAGCTAACATCATTTCTTGATTTACATAATGGAAGATTTAAATATCTAACGTTAAAGTATTATCAAACCGCTAATTCATATATTGTTATTAATAACCACTTGACAAATATACTGTTAAGGTGAAAAAATTTTCTATAGCCATATGTTTCTACAATTATTTGTAGTCATAGTAACAAGTAATTGATTCCACTTTCCCCCATTGTGTTTAAAATATTAACTCTATTATTTTCATTATATGAAATTTACCTTTTTATTAAGTATGTTGTATAGTATGAATTAGAAACCATAGGCCTTATTATTTTTTTTTCTAAAAAAAAGGTGTGATTTTTCATTTGAAATGACATAAAACTTACTATTCTATTGTTTATTTCAAGCCGTTTTCTTTTTTCTATATGATATATTTGTAACTATGGAGTAAATTATGCAATAATCATAATAAATTTTATTGTTTAAAATGATTTGTTCAAATATGAATAATATGAATGAATTAAGTTTTAATTATAAATTAGTAGAACAATACGTTGATCATTTATAACTATTAGTAGTAGTATAAAATATGATTATTTAATTCCCATTAGAGGTCATTAGATTTATTGTTTATATTGATCATATTTCTTTTTAATCAACTTATACATTCATTCATCTTAGAGATTGATAGATACATAATAACATTATTACCCCTTTATATTTTAAATTTAAAAAAAAAAGAAAAGAAAAGATGAATGTTTGTAGTCAGGGAAGATACAGAAATTAATAATCTGTTTATTGACCTAATTACACAAATTATTACTTAAAATTAGAAAACAAAAAAAAACATGCATTAAATATATTGAAAGATGAGAAAAATGAAAGAAAAAGAAAGAAAAGGAAAGAAATAATTACACAGAATAAAAAAATCTAAATATTAATATTCATCATTCATCAAAAACATTGTTATATGAAGTAAAGATGGATAGTGGCTAGCAGCGGAATCCATGACACGTGTTTCGTTCTATTTCAGGACTCCTCAGCTGGATTCACTTGTATGTGTAAAATGAAAAGTAATTGATGTGGTTATGTAAGAATTTTTCAACTACAGAGGCTAGTAGCCGAAGCGTGCACATGTGCTAATAAGAGACTGATCAATTTCAGTCTTAGATATCAATAGGAAGATTTAAGTAAAACAATAACAAGTGAATTTAAACTTCACCCCATTGTACAAGTAGATGACTATCAGGACTCAGT